GTGTTGATGTTAGTTGATAAAGTATTTGATTAATTTAATTTTTGATGTCTTTCCTCTAGGGACCTTTCAAAAACCTGAGGTTGTTGAGGCACTGGGGGTTGTCCCAATCCATTTCCTAGAACAACTAATTTTGCTAAATTATTTTTCTGAATTTTTTAAATTTTTCATACTAGGCATTTTTGTGCCTGATTTTTAAATAGTTCATTCCATCATAACTAAGAGCCTGCTATGTACTTGTATAGTTAATAAAACTTGTTAAATGCCATTTATTTTTTATACTAAGGTAAATTCATTGTTGTTTGTTATGCACTTGCAATGTGCTGCTTTGGTTTTGCACTAGCATTTTGGGTGGAATTGTACCTTTCCAGATTTTCAGTGGTAATTTAATTTCGTGTGGATTTGATGCTTTCTTACTGCTATTTTTATCTGAAGAAGAAAGGATTAAGGGTGGCATAAAGAGGATTCTTTTTGCTCCTTTTCTTTATTCAACCCAACAATATGAACATATGGCCTGCATAAGGGCTCTGAATGGTACTGTCAGTTGCTAACTACTTAACTGGTTTTAATAAATAAAGCCACTTAGCTGCATGGACTATGAGATGCAGATTGGTAGGTGGCATGCTTTGACCAGGCCAGAGAGACATTGCTGCAGCAAATAATATTGCCATCTCTACAAAATAATAGTAAAATGCATTATAACTTTTTCTAGTGGTATCTCCTATTTTTCCAAGGTTTGTAGCTTTTTCGTGTTAAGTACTAATTCAGGGACCAGTTATGAAAGCCATAATAAATGTGCTCACATCAGTATTTTTCTCCCTTCTATAGTTTCTTTTGGCAGTTGAACATAAAACTTTTTTGAGCAGTTGTTTTCCAGGTTTCACACTTCAGAATACCTCTTGCATTGTGGAAGAGTGTGCAGCAAAGACCCTTTGGCTGCTGTGAATTAGGGTTTTTTTGTTTCTCTCTTATTGATTACATATAATTTTCTAAAAACTGAATTAAGCCCTTGCCCTGAACACCTCCTGGCTGTTAGTGTAGCTGGCTAAGAGTGGCATTAAACAGTCGTGAGTAGCAACATTCCTCTCCCTTGTCTTCAGAATTCTCTAGTGACATTTGATATGGAGCTTAGCAATGTGATGAACAAATAACACTGAAACTATTAATATTTACTTTTAAGTGGAACTTTGCTCTCCTTTGTAAATTATTTATTATTCATGAAGTATCATTTATAGTCACTGTGTACAGGGAAACCAAGGTGTTCAGTAATAAGGTGACTGTCTCAGTCATTTCTCATTTAGGTCAGTAGCAGATTCTGGAAGAAATAAAAGTTGAAGTGCCCAATGTACAGAAGCTTGCTTCTTTCAATATTAGACTGTTATTTGATACTGCTGTTTATTAAACTGTCAGCTCTCAGAAAATAATACTGTGTGATAAATACAAAACTTCTCCCGAAGTAATGTCTTCAAGCTATTTGGCCAGCTGTGCCTTGACCTATTTCAGTTTAAGAGAAAATAGAACAGAAATGCAGCCTTAGCTGATGTTTTAATCCTGTTAAATGCAACAAAACATAGGAGACAAAGGAAATGTGTTGATGGTACAGGTAATGCTTATGTTTTTACAGGGAGGAGGAGTTGCATGAGAGGAAAACAGGACTGTCTTCTGGTAGATGGAAACTGGGGTTTCCTGCTCTCTCTCTGTATTCCTGCCTGAAGGATTCTGTGCTCACATTTGTGTTTGATGATGTGTGGAGTGAAGTCCTAGGCTGCATGGAAGAATTAATTTGCAGACACTGGGAAGGGTCAGCCTCTGGTAAGGATCACCATTTAATGGACGATTCAAAAGGGGATTTCAGTTACTTAATTTTGCAACAATGCAATGAGATAGAGCTGTGTGTCTGGGAATAATCTCTTCAGAGGGGAAAAAAAGGGTTATTCTCCTAACAGCGTAAGACACGCCTTCAAAAGATTTAATAGAGTTTAACATCTAAGAGGATTCTAAAAAAAAAAATTGGATTTATAGCACTGTCTACAACTAGTAATGCTAATAGTCTGTATTTACTGGAATTCTCTGTTGCTTTGCATAGATGATGAGAAAAATATTGTGACTCTAGAAACAATCAGAGCAGATGCTGGAAGCCCTTTGCAGTTTGATCCTCTGCCAGCGTTGTTACCGCGTGTGCCACAAACTAAAATGCCCTCAGTGACATCAAATCTGGTAAGTATTTTTAGCCAGCTGGTTTGCGTAGGGATGAATCAATACAGCGCTACCTAAGCAAACAGACTGGAGTATGTCTGGGGACTATTTAGACACATAACTAGTTTGGATTTTGTGTGAATGCTGACTGTCCTTTCTAACACTTGAGTTCTGTTATTCCTCAGTTGCAAGTTTTAATTCCTGCTTTTCTCTTTAAAACGTAGTATTTTATGTATGTATTGGACAGCCATGTGGTGACTGTTTGTGAATGATGTAGTTCTTTCTACATTTGAATAGTTTGAACTAAATTGTGAGACTGAGTATTGCATATGTGAGATCCTATTGTCACTGGCTTATTGATAGTTAACTCAGCAGGCAATAGAGGACAAATCTCAGTGCAGTTGTAAAACAGTTTTTTTTCTCAGACGCTGAATTTGACTGTATAATCTGCTTTAAATAATCTGCTCCTAGAGTGGTGAGCACCAAAGTGTTATGTTATTCCATTTTAATTCAACTCTTTCCTTCTTATTTCTTTTTATTTCTTTCTCCTTCATTTCTACCCCTACCTCTTGCTCGTGTTCCCCTTACTGTATGCGTAGTGCCCAAAACCCAGATGTGGCCGCAAAAGCAAAAAGAGGAGAAAAACACCTCAAGTATGTATGCCGGAGAGATTAAAGCTCTGGTATTTTCTATTTGCTGTTGTTACGGTGGGTGGAATTTGATGTTTTTCCAGATCAGTTTGTATTCTGGGAAAGGGCATTGCAGTTCCGTTCTTGACATAAAATGTCAACATACACTGAAAATGAGTTTCGTAAAGCTTCTGATTATAGCCGTTGTTGGAAGATCCTGTCATGCAAATGAGAAGCTCAGATGGAAAATATTAAGTATGACATGTTTTCTAAGCACTACCATTTGCAAGCAAAAAGGAATGCTAAGATGCCTGTCTTAGATGGGGAAATAATATAACTGAGTATATATCTGGATGTCATGGAAGAAAGTAATTTCTCTCCTCTGAAATTATTTATGAGGGCAAAATGTGTGTAAATACATGTATATGTCTTTGCCAAATAGTAATTTACTTACTTATTTTTCAAACTATCAGGTAAATCTCTCTCAAGGGTCAAGTAGTGGCTCTCAACGTAATCTAAATGGCTTGATGGTGATACACGGGATCCAGTTACAGCAAAGGAATCTGCCTATAATGGAGAAAACACTGTAAGAACTACAGATCATCTGTTGTAGAGCACTCTCACGGTGAGAGGGATTCAACCCAAAATACTGAGAGATAACTTTCTACACTGGACAAAGCAATTCTCAATTATTTTCCTGTTTGTTTATTTATTTGTCCTCTACAAAATAGTATACTGCCAGTACAAGTTTTCTGTTCGATTGCTGCTGGTTTACCACTTAGTCAACAGCTGTGGCATTACTGTTGGCACTAACAGAGGTCCTGAAAAGAGATGAAGCTCAGAATGGGACAGAGAAACTGATTTGCTTAGTTCCTAGAAGTGTACTTGTGTTAGATCTAGGCTACAGCTGTGAAAACTGGTCTTTACAGTATGGTTTTTTAATCTGTTCTGTGATTAATTTTTACTTTTATACTGGAACCTTCAATCAGAAAGTTCATAGTCCAGTAAGTAAAAAAAAAAAAAAAAAAAACACTGGCTCTTTTTTTCCATCCCCTATTCTTTTCTAATTTGGCTTTAAATTACTTTATATAGTTATGTAAAAACTGAAAACAGACCATCTCTATCCACACATAATATTACTAATGTCATGTGTAGATGAGTACTTTGCTAACGGGGTAGTTATCTGTCATGTTGACCATACCTCTTTTGGTTTTGTAATTCTTTTGTCAGGGACCTGGATGACAAACAGTCAGGCTCCAGTTCCATCCTCTCTACCAGAGTGTGGCCAAATCGTCCCCTGGAGCTCTGCACATCATCCCTGTCATGTTCCACGAGAAGGCGAAACCCACCACCACGTACCCTGCTTCCCATCAACACAAGCCACTCTCGTACCGGGACCCCAGGGTCTGTGGACGATGTCTTCAGGGGAACTCGATTGTATGTTTCAAAACCAGTTTCTCACTGCAAGTTACCATGTTTAGAGAACCCAGCTTACACAAAAAGCATTCATTTAAACAGAAAGAACATGTATTATTTGATTAAAGAAATTAACTGCCCATTAAAGCACAATCTCCCCTGAGAAAGCCGAGTTGCTAAAGTTGATGTTTACTGTGCTACAAGCTGCGATTCAGGGAATGGCATACACATTTAGGTAGTCTTGCACACAAACTGTAGACCTCAGTCTGTCCAGTACAAGCAAATACCACCATCTCTTGCTTGACATCAGCCTTCTTTCTCTGTAGCAAATTTTCAAGATGAACTTAAAAGTCTACAGTTTTTGGAGGTCAAACTGCCTGTTGCTGTCCTAGCCCAGACTGAGCTATAAAGGTGCTCATCTTAGATAGGTTATGACTGGCCAAAGGACTCTTTATGAGCTCAGTGAACCCACAATCACATCTAGAATATCTCACTTTTGTCTGGCATAGTGATCTGACTGAATGCAGTCATTTACAGGGACTGAAGGGTATTAGGAAACAATGCAGGTTTTAATACACTTCCATATTCCATGTGTTGTAAATTGACAGTTTCCTTTTAGCTTTGCAGTTTACCTATAAGCTCATCCAGCCTGTTATTTTTTGTCATGCACTGTTCAGAGACTTGTTCCTCATCCCTTCACAAGTGATGTTTCTGTTTCAAATATTTTATGCTTCTGTTGCCTTTCCTCAGGCTTCAATCAATTCAACAGTAGAGAGCACTAGGAAAGTCTTTTTCAAAATGCTGATTTTGGTTTGAAGCTTTTTTAATGTATTCTTCTGGAACATCCTTCAGTCAACTCTAGAACATATATAGAGCTAAGGCCTCTTGATCATTTCTAGCATTTTTCAAACATACGGTAATACACAGACACCTTTCATAAGAAAAGGCTTTCATATGAAAAGGCTGTATCTAGAAAATAGAATACTTAGCATTTTACATTCCTCCTGTGACTAATGCTTAATTAGTTTTGTATTTTGTGCAATTAGATTTGTTTAGCTCCCTTTAGAAGGCTTCTAAAAGCATCTTGCACCTGTTCCTTCAAATACTTGAACAAAATATGGGGAAGGTAGAAGCCTTGTCTTACTCCCAGACATTTCATTTGACGCTTGTAATAAGTGATAGAGCCACAATATGTATTTGCACTATGTAGCTTTTCTACTTGCTCTGCTTAAGATACGGCCTGCTGCTGTTTTCTGGGCTCGCTGTTTATCTTCATTTGCTAACTGAAGTTAGCAGTAAGCAGTACTTCATCCTAAAGGATACGAACAAAGGAGCAGAAAGTAAAGCTGTGTCTGGGAATGGGCAGACAAGATTCTACCATTGTATGGTAACTGCCCACAAAGACACTTTTATGTACACACACCTTGATTCTACAGTACCAGCCGCTCAGCACACTGCTTCCAAATACACTGGATGAGGTGCATTTTTAACCACAGCTAGCTTTTATAGACACCCATTACCAGGATTTCTGCTGGCGTACTCGTTCTCAGACTCACTTCGCCTATATGCTTATTATTAAACATTCTGAAAATGAGTAGTTCGTGTTAATAGATGAAAGATTTCTGCCAAACTTCACCCGCTGCAGAACTCTTAAATCGTCTCTGGTAGTCAACCCTAACACCAGCATCTTGCAGCAAAATACTGCCACCATTGCTCTTAGTTTTAACAGTTTGTCTACACAACGCCAAATAAACTGACAGTATTGTACGTTTACACAATACCAAGCATATGAACTGGGTGTGTTTTCTGTTCTTACTGGTGCATTTCAGTCCGACTGCACATGAGCAGCTGACCTCGCCCTCCCCACTGCCGCTAAGCCGCAATAATCTCCTACCGCCTATTACGACCTCCGCTGTGGCAGAGCACGCAAGCACTGCAGGATCCCACAAGCAAACGGTAATAGGCACAACAGTTTTACTGCTGGATAGTCTGAAATTGTAATCCCTGCTGATCAAATTACCAAACCCAAGAGTTTCCATTTGTTTGTTATCTTGCCAAGTGACAGGAACCAAAATAGATACAAAACAATGCTGCATCAGTTTTGACCAACAGCATCACCCGGAGCTGAATGCTTTAATTCCAATTAATGCCAGAATTTTCTTCCTCCCCATAAGCAGATGTAGAACGATCGACTTGAAAATTATCCTGTATTCCTAGGCTAATTATTTTAAATGTACTACTGCGATAAGAAAAAGTCATAACTGTTATCCTTTAATACAGAGATCTCGAGGGACGTCAAGTCGAGCTCATAGTGTAACAACAGATGAAGATACCCACCAGCAGCTACAGGAGCGGCTTTTCTTACCTGATCATTTCTCCAGGCCTAACACAACCAATGCATTCTTGGTAAAGCATGACAAATTATACCAAATCATCTTTAGTTACTCAGTAGGGTGCTTTGACAATTAACATAGGTAAACACTTCAGAACCAAATGTCACAGGTGATCAGTGCCAGGGAATTCATTAAGTTCACAGCTTGACTAGATACTTAGAGGTTAACAGAAACATATTGCTTGGCACTTCAGAAACGGGACAAGTCACTTGTTCACAGGTAACAATCTCACAGTACTCCCCACAGACAGCTCCGAACTACACTTACAAGCACCAGCTGGTGGTACTACACTTCTCTTGAAGAATCCAAGTTTGAGATGCTTGTGGAAAAGGCTAAGTGTTACTTGAGGTATAACATCCAATCTAGCATCTCCTGTGGAGGCTTAAGAACTGTCGTAGGATGCTTTAATGTTTTGCATAGACATTGGGAAATCATTCCTACAGCTGTGTTCAGAAACGCAAGGGTAGGATAGTCTTCATTGCTTTCTTGCACAAGTTCACTGTACTATTAATATCTAGTCTGTTTCAGGATCAGATGCTCTTGGTTTAATTTATTGAAACACCTACTCTACTGATATCTTGTCCTATCTAACAAAGTATTTTTATCTAAGCTTTAAAAGCTGTAGTTTTAACAATAGCTTTTAAATAGCTGCTGATTTGGTTTCTGTGTATATTTTGAAACAGAACAATTTCCAGAAGTGGTGAGAATGCCTTTAACTGGCCCCGTGATCATTCTAAGTAAGAGTGTTATAAAAGTGTATTGTCTACTCTCTAGAGTTGAACTTTAGGTTGATTTAACCCTCCTTAAACCTGTAAAAGCGATACTTAGACCTTTACAACATCTTACAAATTAGGAAATACATATGTTTAAGTAGTTTGTATTATAATCTTGGTGTTTAGATTTTTTCATGCAAAGATAAATAACTTGAACTGTCTTTTCAGCCAGATCCACAGCGCCGCCGTTCTTGCACCGTTACGGATTCTAGTAATCAGTCTTGGACAAGCAGAGGATCAACAGGTTCAGGTATGCTTATCAGTTGTAGAATTTAATAAGATCAAACACGAGGTATGCTTTTGAGACAGGGATGCATTTCCTACATAGGTAGTTACATTGAGGAGGTTTTTTCAAAGTTCTATTTCATGTTTTAAATTTTCCATTATACAAGTTTTATACTTGCATATAGAGTACGTTTGGGTGTGGGTTTTTTCCACTTAGGATTTAAAATCATTTAAGGAAGCTTAATGCAATCAGCTCTGATGCTTCTCATGTCAAAGTTAAGAGCAGGAGTTGCCAGTTTAAACAGAACTAGCAACAGCTACTTTCTGTCTGAGGATTTTTCCTCTGCTCAGCTATACCACTGAAAGAAATTGCATTCTGTCCAAAAGAAATTTATTTGCACTGTGCCCAGAAGAGATTGTACTAGGTCTTAGAATTGCAGTAGATCAACTCAAAGTATATTTTAAAGCCAGAAACTGTACCAGTACAATTCACATGCATATTCTGAAATCAAGATATGCTTCTACTGTTTAATGTGTAACAACTGAATGAACTTTGTGGAGTTATTGGCATAACCTAAAATGAATCTCATCTAAAATTACTTCCTTTTAATTGATCAATGTATCAAGGCAGCAGGAAGACATTTTTGTTGTGAATGTAATGCATACTCTTCCCTCCCGTTTCCCTTCCTTCACTGCAAAGTCATCGCCTTAAATTGTTTATGGTTAATACAGAGACCCCAAAACAACCCTGGTTGTGACCGTGTAGCTATTCCGAAGCATACATGAAAACTATATTCAAAGTGTTACAGTAGACCAATGAATCTTAACTGTTTCAGCTCAAGAGATTTAGGTTTTGACCTCTTGGCACACACAAGGGCTAGTCTAGTCAGTTGAAAGGGATTTTGTTCAAAGATTATGATAGAGCAGAAAGTTAACTTTTATGTCTTGGAACAGCTTTTCCTGAATGCCATCTTCATAGCTCTCAGCTAGAGAGAGTGCTAGAGCACTCCCCTGTTCACTTTGTATTGATGGTAAGGACCACCTGAACCCCGGAGGGGGTGGCACAGAGCAGGGCATTAGATACACTTCCTGAAAGCTAGGTCTGTCAAGACAAGCTACACTGGATTCCCTTCATCGAAATGGTTTGGATTTCCTTATGGAGGTGTCAGAACTTCCCACATAAACATATACTAAGAAGATAGGATTGAAGCTGCAAAGGTTAATGGAAGCTGCAAAGAGTAGCAAGCACATGGGTGATCATTAGAGGACAGGGGGGGTCTTTTAGCTTGTTTAATAGCTGAATGGCCTACTACCACTAATGTAAGCGGTACAAGAGGCAACTTAACATAGACACTAAACTGAAGTAACTTGTTTTTAAACAAGAAAGGAGTGGTTGCTACTAAAATTAAAATTTATGTGCTCCCCCTCCAAAAAAACCAAACCAGTATCTTTAAATGCACGGTAAGTTTTATGACTGCTGTATTAACAAAAAAAAAGAAATTGAAAGCAGCAGCAGAACTTTATAGACTTGAATACTTCATGAGACATCAAGCAATACAGTAGTTCCCTGCAGTGCAGCAACTATGAAAGCACAAACTTTGCCCCTTTTGGAAGGCCAGTCACTTGTCTCAAACTCGCCTAAGTTATACATAATGCAGTTGATGGCCACCTATTAGAATGAAAAGCCAAAAAAAGGCATTTTAGTTTTAAGCTAAAGGAGATGTATTTGGCACTTTGTTTTAATACCTTCCAGAAGTCTTAAAAGCATACATGATCTCTGTTTATTAGGTCTCCAGCTACATGGTTCTGTGAAAGCCCACCGTCGAAGTGCATCAGTCACAAAAAGCAAACAGGGGTTCTGACACGCCCTGAAGAAGTACCCATCCATCTCCAGAGTCACGAACCTCCACTCATTCTCAGCAACGTCAACATTGTTTACAGAGAGTTTTCAAACAGCCTTCCTTATGAATAGTTATTTTTATATAAATCTAAAAAGCATCTGCCAAAGATTAGAAGGGGTATAGTTAAACATTCCGTTTTCTACTAGTAGAAAAAATTATACTCCAGTGGAAGGGTGACTATACTCCAGTGGACAGTAAAGCCTAACTCCTAGAAAGTGTAGCAAATGCTCTCAGTCACTGCTGTTTTCTCATTACTGGCTTGTGACTGGTTCGTGTCATTACAGGCAGACACTGCAGAACCTGTTGATGTTTCCGATAGCTGTATGAAAGATTAATCAGGCCTTCCACAGTAGTAGTAATTTAAATTTTTAAAGCTATATTTATATGTTTAAAGCAATATTATACTATAAAAAACAAGCACTGCACACCATACTGCTATAACTCAACGTAGACAAGTTATGAATCTTGTAGTAATTGCAGCAGACATTAACACAGTTGTGTAAAAATAAGGTAGCAAAGCAGGTGAGCAGAACTGACAGCTTTAAGGGTAGCACCCCACTGACTCATCCTGTGTTATATACTTACATCTCTCCCTCAGTGACTGAAGAAGGTTTAAGAGGCAAAAAGGAGTCTCTTACTGCAAGTAGTTCCAGACAGTATTCAAAGAAAGTACACTGTCTTCCTGGTGAGATATTTTATGGTGATTTCACAGAATAGGTCAGTCTCCCTTTCTAAAAATACCTGCAATTATCTAAGATTTCTGCACTCTGCCGTGAAGTTCCACAACTCACAGATGCAACATAGCTTTTGCTAGATGCATTCTGCGCTGTGTGACAGACATACCGGAGGTACTTGCTGTAGTTGCCCTTGCGGTTCCAAATAAGACAAAAACATGAAATACCAGCTTCTCAAAATAAATGATTAGTTGAAGGTCTTACTCCCAAGCAGTAAGCGCCACACTATGAGTAAGCATAAAGACAAGGTGAGGGTAACCACTTACTGTATTTTAACAAAGCTAGGACACCGCACGAAAACAGTTGTTCCCTTCGAATCCAATTAAAGAGCAGTTTCTTCTAAATTTCCTTATTAATATTTTCCAGGTTACAATTCATAATGCAAAAAACTTGTCAGTGTTCTTTATGAAGTGGCTCCCCTATTTCCCCCCTCTAAGTTATGCAATCTATCAAATGTTGGTGGCACCTACAGAGCAGCTAATCATTTTTGATCAGTATTGAAGTTCTTGAGTCCAGTTAATCCAGTCAAAAAGAAGGGAAAAGAAAGCACAGCAGAACTGTGCAAATGTAACGGGGTTAACTTTCCTTCTCATTTCTAGAGGGGAAAAAAAGCTCTGGGCTCAATCTAAATCTCTAAGTTCACACAGAGATAAACTGATGCTAACAGGAGGCCTCTATTCACTAAACCCTTTCAAAATACAGTTTCTCTTAACAGCTAAGACTACTGGAACGCTGTACAGTACGTTATTTAGTTACCTCAAGCTAACTGGAGATAAGCATCCTGTTTACATTAGTGCCATTTCTCAGGGACCAAGTTCATTTTCCGTAGCCCTAGTGCATAAGAGCTACAAAAATATACAAATAAACTCAAATAGACTTCTAGTAACATAATGTAGTATTTTATAGCCTAGAGGAGTCGGTGTGTTAAAAAAGTGAAAGCAGTCTCACAAGGGTAATTCTTGGTTCCTGTACAAATGGTTGACGCCAGAGAATTCTCCTGGGCTGTGAGATACCTGTTTTGTGTAGTAAAAGTAACATTCAAGTTGTGTGTTATGCAGCATGATGAGATGCCATGCTCTCTCAGAATCGGGATAATTTTTGAAAGCAGCCAAGTAAAAGGGAAGAGAGTTACCATCTACCTCTAGCTTCCCCTCAGGAAGCTCTATTAAATAGTCAGTTCCTGAATGCTATCACTGAAGCAATGAGGGCCTTCAACTCAAAAGCAAGTGTTCACCTTGTGGCTCATAAGCCTTTGAAAAAGATCCACAAAATAAAGTCAGCCTCATTCCTTGGAGCTACTGCAAGCTGAAAACTAGTTACGCTTCAAATTCATACACATCCATACTGTGTCAAGCGGTTTAACAACAGCTGAAGCAAAAGCCTTCAAAGTATTCGCACATCTTATGGAAGTAATTCACTTCTGAAATAACAGAAGTGTTGACAAATACAGCCAAGTAGCTAATCACTACCATTCTACAGCAGATTTGACCGTGATGCTGTTGAAGTAACACGCAATACATTTCTTTGGAACTCCTTGTCATGGGGCATCACAAACCCTAGAAATACACAGAACCGACTCTGTTCTGTGGATTTTTACGTTTATTCCCTCCCCTCAGCGTGTGAGAGAATTTCTGCATAGTCGCATACATGCTACAGTCTCATATTCTTCCTAAAGCATCTGCCACAGGCAATCAAAGGCCAAACACTAGGTGGCCCTTCCATCTAACACAGCATCACTGCACTGACGCCACAGTTAACGCTACAGCTGTATTTGCAGCTGCTGTAGAAGTATGTAGCATTTACTGACATCAGTCAGAAGAGTCAACATGATCACTTTGTTTTGAACAGCCAGTTAGAAAATGTAGAGAGGGCTAGGGAAGCAACATAGCACAGAATTCTGAAAAAACTTTTAATTTATTAAATCTGCAGTTTTCCAAAATATCTTTATAAAACCCCTGGAATATCTGAAAAACACCTGTAGAGCTGAAGTGCAAAGAGCTTTAAAAACAGCAGATGGTTTGTTACAGAAGAAATGCGTGAATAACAAAAAGATAAGGTTTCCAACACAGAAACCACAGGAATCAGCATTGAAGACTCGTGTGGGATTACTTTGTTTTACCATCAGCTATGCTGATACCGGTTAGGTGTTTGGAAGGAAGGTGCTCCAACACAAGGTTAATAAACACCCAGGCATCCCAAACATCTCACTGCTTCCTTACTGTAACAAAATTTAGTTGAGAATCTCTCTCCTCTTAACTGAAGAGCACCCAAAGGATTTTAAACAGTAGCACCAGAATGCTTTGTCCGTCTTGTTCATGATGTGTTCTGTATCATACCTCCCAAGTCACAGCAAGTTGATGCACACGCGCTCCGCAACAGTAGTCCAGAAAACCCCCGAAATTCTCCCAAATCCACATGTTCCCACAGAAAATTGCACCTGATATGTCGGTCTACACAGTTCCTTATTTCTTTCCTTTCTTGGCTGCAGTCTTCTTTCTTCCTTTTTTAGCATTGTTCCCGTATTTTGCTTCCAGGTGGGCCAAAAAGTCATCCATTTCCTTTTTTCGATCTTTATTTCTGCTCTGGGGGAGAGGAAAAAAAAAAACCCAAAACCCAAACCAAAAACTTTTACTACTTCCCAACACAGATAATTCAAAAGTCAGATAACTACGTATCTCAGAATATATTGAGCAGGGAACACAAACTACAAGAGGTATAGTACTGTCAAGCAAAAGCCTACTTGTATGCTCTAGACTCTATACACAACTTCCAGAAGTACCAAGAAAGAGGTAACGAGTACCGATAAAAAAGGTCATGACAAGGCTAGGAAAAGCAAAACAATTTCTAGTCTGGACCCAAAACTCTATTACAATTTGAGGAATGAGTAAGCATGAACATTCTAGGAAACTCACTGGACAATAAGGAGAAACAGAAAACATTCCAAACGTACACAGTATGTTTCTTTCCTCAATCCCCAAGACAAAAAAGCAAAATAGTAAGACCTATCAACTTCTATATACTTGTGGAATCCCTCAGAAAGAAACAATCATTAACACTCTCTGTCCAACTGCCTAAAACTAGAAGTTCAATATTTTTACTGGATATGCAGAAAAGATATTAGAATAACTTTAATTTTTAAAAAGACGCAGGTAACAAAATCCATACCATGCTCTATTAACTAAAGTACACAGATAGTTAACATTAATGTCAGTTTTCAACCTCAGGAACTCAGAAGAGTTGCAAGGATCCAAAATACAAAGATGCTCAGGGAAAACACAAGTATAAGTCACTACCATAATTATCTTCAACAGACACAAAATGCCTTACCTGAATCAGCGCTTTCAAGTCATCATCTCCATCACCAAGGCCCAGTTCATCTTTACTCTTTTCTGCCTCTCTAGCTTCTTTTTCTGCCTAAAATAGCAAACTAGTTTTTTAAAAAAGTATTTTGCACATCATTTGACAAAGTCTTATAGTAGTTACTGAGCATTTTTTTTTTTTGCATCTGTATACAAATAGCTGCAAGGAAACACAAATGGTTTCCAAGTTTGGCTGCAGATGAGACATCAGTGAAAGAAAGCCCATTCTGGTTCCAAAATTTAGTAGAGTGGGACAGTTTTTTGCTGTGTCACAATGCTGAATGCGATGTCCATCCCCATCACTGTTCCCCCCCACCCATGCTTTTCCTTTTCCTAGCAGCTATCCCATTTTCTTTAACTTACAGAAAGATTATTGTCATGAGCATATAACATATTCTACAAAGTGTCTAAAAAAACCCCAGTTTGGAGAACTTGGGTTCCATTTAGTCCAGAATGTTATTTCCCACTTGCCAAAAGGCAAGCGTAATATATTTCCATCCCATGTACACTTTTTGACTCCAGCAACTCAAGGCTTTGTAAACAGACGCAGGGGTTTGCTAAACTGTAATAAGCCATTGTGTTTAATAATGGAATAGAAGAAAGAAGTAATAGGCAACAGCCCATTACAACTCGGAAGCCTTTCACAACAATTTTTTTGGGGGGTGGGGGTGGAGAACACCGGTGACTAAATGTGAAAGTCAAAGATTCTGACCGAGATCTGTAACTCAGCAATCCTGTGGCAAACATTTGTCTTAAGAACAAGAGTTTGTTCTTAAGAAAAATTTTCCTAAGAAAGAGTTTGATTCATTTCTACCAAGGGAGATTAAAAGCTTATCATAAATAATGCTTCTCTTTGGTCCCTGATTAACACAACCTACCCGCCTCCTCCTTGCAATCATTTTCTGCTTAGACTCTTTCACAAAACCTTTGTAGGATGGGACTTCTCCAGAGTCGATGGCTTTCGCTATGATTTTCCTTATTCTTGGTTCATCTGTATAGTCCGCACACAGCACAGACTCCATTATTCTGTCCATGTCACCCTCAAAATCCATGTACGCTGCTTTAATATCAGCTAGCTCTTCCTCGGAATCCTTATAGCTCTTTTCGAAGTCCTCAATATCTTTTACAGTGATCTGAAGCAGAGAGGTGACGCTTCTTAAGTAACAGGATTTATTCACCAGGAGGATGTCAGAGACAGCGTGAAAACGCCCCACCCCAGTGTTTCGCACAGCGCTCGTAAGGGAGACACGGCCACAGCTCCGAGGAGGTGGGCTTCCCCCTCCCGCAGGCCCTGCCGCCCCGCCGAGCCCCGCGCTCACCTTCCTGAAGAGCAGCCGCCAGTACTCCCGCCAGTCCCGCTCGCCCCTCACCGCCTCGCCCTCCCCGTCCACC